AAAAAAAAAAAAAAAAAAAAAAAAAAAAAAAAAAAAAAAAAAAAAAAAAAAAAAAAAAAAAAAAAAAAAAAAAAAAAAAAAAAAAAAAAAAAAAAAAAAAAAAAAAAAAAAAAAAAAAAAAAAAAAAAAAAAAAAAAAAAAAAAAAAAAAAAAAAAAAAAAAAAAAAAAAAAAAAAAAAAAAAAAAAAAAAAAAAAAAAAAAAAAAAAAAAAAAAAAAAAAAAAGCTGGGCATGGTGGTGTGCTCCTGCAATCCCAGCTACTTGGGAGGTTGAGGCAGGAGAATCACTTGAACCTGGAAGGCGGAGGTTGCAGTGAGATGAGATCGCGCCACTGCACTCCAGCCTGGGTGACAGAGTGAGACTCCATCTCAAAAAGCAAAACGTGGTTGAGTAAAAGAACACACGAACACTTGTTCATCATGTTTCAGGGGCTGGAGGTACAATTGTGAGTTGAAACAGGCACGGTTCCTGCCTGATGAAATTCATGGCCTAGAGGGATAGATGGGACACCAAGTAACTGAGCCCAGTGAAGGACCATGTGTGCGGGCACGAAACAGTTGAGCCTACTGTGGTGGTAAGGAGGGGACAGGTCTTCCCGGGAAAGTTGAAAGTGTGATCTAAAGCATGCATAGGAATTAATTACTTTAAAAATGTTAGTTGACTTTTGGCAAGCTGTAGCACCTTGAACTTTCCCTCCCTCCCCTGCTCCTGCCCACTAAGGTATATGCAGTAGAACTTGGAAGCTTCCTGAACCCCAGGCTCCTTAATCTGTAAAGGAAAATAGCAATAATTGCTAAGCCACAGGTCAGGTAAGGGAGAACTGAGTTACAGAGGGTAACTACCACCATTCTTCTCTCATCCTTTAACTCAGGGGTTTCCACCCGTCCCCACCTCACCCTGTCCCCCGTTCGTGGACTGACACCAGTCCCTGGCCTGTTAGGAACAGGGCCGCACAGCAGGAGGTGAGCAGCAGCCTAGCCAGCATCACCGCCTCCTTTCAGGTCAGTGGCAGCCTTAGATTCTCACAGGAGCGTGAACCCTATTGTGAACTGCACACTCGAGGGATCTAGGTTGCAGGCTCCTTAGGAGAATCTAATGCCTGATGATCTGAGGTGGAACAGTTACATCCCGAAACCGTTCTCCACACCCCCGTCAGTGGGAAAACTGTCTTCCACGACAGCGGTCCCTGGTGCCAAAAACGCTGGGGATCGCTGCTTTAAAGCGCTGACCTTTGAGCAGCTCGCAGGTCCCCGGGGTGTAAGTGGTCTTCTTGGGGCGGCGCCGGAACCCCGTTGCTTTGGTCACTGCTTCTGTCTTCTGTGAAGCCATGGAAGGACCCTGAGGAGGGAAGGACGCAAGGACACACCCTCCGTCTCCTATCCTTAATTTCCTTTTCCCCACGCCCACCACCCTAGAAGTCTGGAAGCGGGGATCGAGCCAGAGAGTCGTGATGCCGCCATTTAATATGGAGACAGTGCCCAAACCTCCCATCTGGACACAGACAGATACACACACAGTCCTCATTCTGACCCAGCACCTGTGGCAGGGAAGTCCCCTCGGGAGGAAGGGAGTGTTAACATGGCCATGGTCACAACAGTACCCACTGAGAGATATGCCAAAATTGAAATTTCACCCGAAGACCTCCTCTGGGTGCTTCCTTCTCCACATAGAGGTGAGCTCCCGGAGGCGGTGACCACTGCTTTGCAGCCGAATCGGCACCGGTGCCACGTAGAAATACTACGCGATCTAGGCTGCTGGAGCCGGTAACTAGCGACTGTGGCTACCATGGTAACGCGCCCCAGAAGTCAACGCATGCGCCCTTTCTCCTCCGCGCCGTCCTGCCTCCCGGAAGTGATTTCCTCTGGGTCACCGCGCAAGCGCAGGATAATCGTGGCGCCGCACGAGTCGTAGTGAAGCCGTTTGCGGGTCTCCGCGCGGGACTGGGGAGCAGCGGCGTCGCTGAGACTAGGGTGTCATGTCAGACAACGAGGACAAGTGAGTGCGAGAGCGAAGTGGACTTTGCGGCAACCTCAGAAGGGGCGGATGAGGCAGGGCGTGGGTCGAAGGCGGCTGAGGAGCCTGGTGTCGAGGGGCAATGTCTGAGGGGATTGGGGGCCGGAGGGGGCAGGCGGAGCCGGGGAAGGGAAGGGCGGGGACCCAGGAGCATAGACCCGACCCGAGACCGGGCAGAGGAAGGCCCTGGCTCGAGGGTCCGGAGAGCATCCGTAGAAAAGGTGTCTTTCAGCAAAAGGTGTCTTTCAGTGAGCCGGGCTCTGTGTCATGCAGTGGGAATATTGAGGTGAATGAGGAATCGTCCCTGCCCTCCATGTGCTCACTTTCTACAAGAGGGAGCACAGGCCCATAAGTCAGTAAACAGGTAATGGGGGTCGCGTGAGCTTCCCCAGTTCTAGAAGTATGTAGTATAGGAGTTCTCCAGGGGAGGGTCTGGGGCAGCTCCACTTGGTGGCATTAAATAAAAGTCTGGAAGGGTTGGTTGCAGTAATCTTTTTTTTTTTTTTTTTTTTGACGGAGTCTCGCTCTCTCGCCCAGGCTTTGCAGTGCAGTGGTGCGACCTCGGCTCGCTGCAGCCTCCGCCGCCCAGGTTCAAGGAGGGGTTCTCTTGCTTCAGCCTCCCGAGTAGCTGGGATTACAGGCATGCGCCACCACACCTGGCTGTTTTGTTTTTAGCAGAGATGGGGTTTCACCATGCTGGCCAGACTGATCTCGAACTCCTGACCTCAAGTGATCCACCCGTCTCAGCTTCCCAAAGTGCTGGGATTACAGGTGTGAGCCACCGTGCCCGGCCTGGTTGCAGTAGTCTAGGTGAAAGTCAGTAGCTTGTGGTAGGGTGGTAGGAGTAGAGGTGGTGAGAAGTGGTTTTGAATTCTGGATATATTACTATTTTAAAGGTAGAGCCAAAAAAATTACCTGTTGGATGTGTGGGCACAAAGAGATCTAGTGTGAAGATAAAAATAAGAAACATGTGGGATTGCTACAGCATTCTCAGTATCAGTAGAGAAAAGGAGATGACTCCTGACTGAGCGTTCGGGCATTCAAACCTTGAGGGCTTGGAGGAAAAGAGAAGCCAGGGAGGTGGGGGAACACCGAGAGAGTGAGGTGTCGTTGGAGTCAAGTGAGGAGAGCGAGTGGCCTAATGTGTCAGCTGGTAGATCAGGCTAAATGAGATTGAGAATCGGCCATTGGATTTAGCAACGTGGAGATCATTAATGAACTTGGGAAGAGTGGTTTTGATGGAGCTGTTGGTGTGAAAGGCTTTTTGGATTGGGATTATACAGGATGGGAAGAGAGGAGTTGTAGACGGGGAGGGACAGCTCTTTCACTTATTTTTGCTTCAAAGGGCACTATGGAATTAGGGCTGTAGGGGGAGGGAGAAGAGAAGTAAGGATTTTTTTTTTTTTAGATGAGGAAAACACATGTTGAAATACTGATGGGCCGAGCGGTGGCTCACACCTTTAATCCCAACACTTTGGGAGGCCAAGGAGGGTGGTTCACCTGAGGTTAGGAGTTCGAGACCATCTTGGTCAACATGGTGAAATCCTGTCTTTACTAAAAATACAAAAATTACCTGGGCATGGTGGTGTATGCCTGTAATCCCAGCTACTCGGGGGGCTGAGACAGGAGGATTGCTTGAACCCAGGAGGTGGAGGTTGCTGTGAGCTGAGATTGCACCACTTCATTCCAGCTTGGGTGACAGAGTAAGACTCTGTCTCAAAAAAAAAAAAAAAAAAGTTGATGAGAATGATCCAGTAGAGAGGCAAACAGTGATGATGAATGCGTCCTAACAAAATCGGGGGCAGATGGGGAAAGATTGAACGTGTAAAATGGAACAAAAGTCTTATTTACTTATTATTATTTTGAGATGGACTGCCGATGATTTACTTATTAAGTAGATATTTACTAAGTGCTTCCTATATAGTGGGCGAGACATATATCTCTGCCCTCTTTTATTTTTTTTTTTTTTTTTTTGAGACAGGTTCTTGTTCTGTCACCCAGGCTTTAGTGCAGTGGTACGATCTTGGGTCACTGCAACCTCTGCCTCCTGGGTTCAAACAATTCTTGTGCCTCAGCCTCCTGAGTAGCTGGTATTACAGGCATGTGCCACCATGCCCAGCTAATTTTTCTATTCTTAGTAGAGATGGGGTTTCATCATGTTGGCTAGGCTGGTCTCGAGCTCCTGGCCTCAAGTGATCCACCCACTTCCATCTCCCAAAGTACCAGGATTACAGGTGTGAGCCACCATGGTCAGCCCCTCTTTGTTTCTGGTAAGTGATGCTCTAACTAACTGATTTATTCTTCCTGTACAGTTTCGATGGTGATGACTTTGATGACGTGGAAGAGGATGAAGGGCTAGATGACTTGGAGAATGCTGAAGAGGTCAGTATTAAGCCTCAGGCTCCCACCTCTGCAGCCCAAGCTGCCAAATAGTCTGGCAGGTTATGATTACCTGAATGTATCTGCCTTCTGTTTGTGGTCAGAAGGCAGATACATTCAGGTAATCATAACCTGAATGCTGGCATAAGCATTCCCAGTTAGAGTGAGCTGTGTTCCAGTCTTGCACAGCAGAACAGCCCTGCGGGATAGGCCTGAAAGCTTTTGTCCATGTGGTCCACAGCCTATGGCTTCTGGGGCAGTTAGTTCACTGACAAGTTAAACAGCACCTTCCTGCCCAAGGTTATTGTTAGGGCTACATGAGGTGTTAGGAAGCAGTCACCTGGTCCCCTGGCATGCAGTGAGCATTAATGGTGGCAGTAGCGGTGATTATGATTGTTGTCATTATCACCATCCCTGTAACCCAAAAATGCCACCTGAGATTTTCTCTCTTTTTTGTCTTGTCCAGGAAGGCCAAGAGAATGTCGAAATCCTCCCCTCTGGGGAGCGACCACAGGCCAACCAGAAGCGAATCACTACACCATACATGACCAAGTACGAGCGAGCCCGCGTGCTGGGCACCCGAGCTCTCCAGATTGCGTGAGTGATTGCCCCTTCACTGTCCTCTCCATCCGTCAGACCATAGTGAGCTCCTGAGCCACTGATCTTGCCCCGCCCGGCACCTGAAAATAGACTCTCCACTCTCACATTCCAAAGGTGGTGCTGTCCCTGTGTACCAGGCATTGTGCTAGGCCCCTGCCCTCAGGGAGCTTGTGATCTAATAGGAGAACTAGGACGAGAACATCTGAGAAGTCAAGTAACAGTATGGGAGAAAAATGATACAGAAACCAGAACTAGATGGTTGCCTGTCAGATTAGTGAAGCAGAAAAAGGGTGAAGTCAGAGCCAATGTGTACCAGTGTTTTTTTTTTTTTTTTTTGATATAGAGTCTCGCTGAGTCACCCAGACTGGAGTGCAGTGGCACAATGTCAGCTTATTGCAACCTCTGCCTCCCAGGTTCAAGTGATTCTCATGCCTCAGCCTCCCAGGTAGCTGGGATTGCAGGCGTATGTCACCATGCCTAACTGTTGTGTTTTTAGTAGAGACAGGGTCTTGGCATGTTGCTTTGGCTAGTCTCGAACTCCCAGCTTCAAGTGATCTGCCTGCCTCTGCCTCCCAAAGTGCTGGGATTACAGGTGAGAGCCACTGGGCCTGGCCATGGTGGTTCTTTTGTTTTATTTTCCTAGCCGAGGTCTCACTCTGTTGCTCGTATTGGAGCACAGTGGCCTGATCATAGCTCATTGCAGCCTCAATCTCCTGGGCTCAAGCGACTTTCTTGACTCAGCCTCCCAAGTAGCTTCAAGCTGGGACTGCAGATGTGTGCCACTATGCCTGGCTTTGTATTTTGTTGTAGAGATGGGGGTCTCGCTGTGTTGCCCAGGCTGGTCTTGAACTCAGCCTCCCAAAGTGCTGGAGCTGAGATTACAAGCATGAGCAACCACTCCTGGCTTTTAAGGTGGTTCTTGATGTGTGGTAGACTGTGGCCAGCCCAGCAGACTGGGGGCGCTCCAGCTTGAGAGCACACTGGAGAGATAAAAGCACAGAGTAGTGGTGGGGTTTCGGGGATTTGAGAAGCAGCAAACTTTCTCTCCCATGGTTGGGAGAATAAAGATTCAGGACATAGAGTAGACAGGTGGAGATCCAAGTGTCCAGTGAGTGCAGATGAGTTAGCCACAGGCAGTGCAGGCCTTCAGATGACTACTGAGGTTTGGGGCAGAGTAGAGAATAGACTGGAAGCCCCTTCCCCAGCAGATGGCTTTGAGAACGCAGGGACTTTCAAAGAGGCGGGGCCACAGATGCCTGCTTTCCCCCCCACCCAGGCTCACCTGTCAGAATAGTTATTCCTGCTTTCTTGTGAAGAGTAGGTGAGAGGACAGAGAGGGGTACTCTAATGGTACTCTGTGGGGAAGCATGAGACTGAGGACAGGAGCTCCTCCCCCAGACTCCCTATAGGCTGGTGTGGGAAATGGTGGGTGTCTGGAGAAGGCAGCGTAGTTCAAGTAGGGAATAGTGGAAATTAGTCTAGAAAGAAAAGCAGCTGGGTGTGGTGGCTCACACCTGTAATCCCAGCCCTTGGGGAGGCCGAGGCAGGAGGATTGCTTGAGCCCAGAAGTTCAAGACCAGCCTGAACAACATGGTGAAACCCCATCTCTGCCAAAAATTCAAAGTTCTTAGTTGCTTTGCATTGGGTTAGAACAAGTTGTTTTAATTCACAGAAGTTTCTTATCATCCACCTTTTGAAGCCTGCTTCTGTTAATGGAACACACTCGTTCTCCATCAGGCCTTGTTCCGTTGCTGATGAGGAACTGTGATCCCCTGTAAAGGGAGAGGCGTTCTGATTTTGGGTATTCTCAGCCTTTTTAGGCTGTTTTCTTCCCTTCATTATAGATTTATCCACCTGTGATCTTTATAATTACTGTCTTTATAATTGGGTTTCTGAGTGGACGTCCAACTTGGTGATTCCCAGTGCTAAAATCTGAGCAACCCACTGCGCCGGCCAAAACGGTGGCGTTATGATTGATGGTGCTTTTCTGACTCTGCACCAAGAACCGCCACACCAAGGCAGCGGCAAAACCGCCTCGCCGGCCACAAGAGTTGCGCTGGCGACCCGTGGGGCTCCTCCGCTGGGAATCTCCTGGTGCGTGAGCAACAAAAATTCATCCGAAAGTGTGGTGTCCTCTCGTTCTCTGCGCTTTCACTGGGAGCTACAATCCCGAGCTGCTAGTGATCAGCCATCTTGGATCTGTCTCCCAAAAACAAAAACACAAAAATTAGCTGAGTGTGGTGGTGTGCTCCTGTAGTCCTGGCTACTCAGAAGGCTGAGGTGGGAGGATCATCTAAGCCCAGGAAGTTGAGGCTGCAGTGAGCTGTGATTGCACCACTGCCCTCCAGCCTGAACAACAGTGAGACTCCATCTCAAAAAAAAAAAAAAAGGAAAGCTGGGGCCAGATTTGTGGACTGTGTGTGCTCGCAGGGGCAGCAGTGCTGTCTGTACATCCCCTCCTTAGTGTGCAAGCAGCACTGGGCTGTTGTCTCCTCTAGTCCTGTGGAGGTAAAAATGACCATCATGTCTACCTCAATAAAGGGTTTTATGGGTGGGCAACATTGTTCTCATTCATTCCTCTTCTCTGCTCTTCTGAGTGGCATTAGAGCCACACCCAGTATGGTATCTTTTGGTGCCACCAAGGTCAGGATCCTCTGGGCCTGCACCATCAATTATAGTAGCCACAAACTGTATGTGGCCATTTGCATTAAGTACAATTAAATAAAATGAGACGTTCAAGTTCTGTCTCACTAGCCACCCACAATTCTTTTTCTTTTATTATTTATTCATTTTATTTATTTATTTATTTTTGAGATGGAGTCTCACCCTGTTGCCTAGGCTGGAGTGCAGTGGCGCGATCTTGGCTCACTGTATCCTCCGCCTCTCGGATTCAAGTGATTCTCCTAACTGAGCCTCCTGAGTAGCTGGGATTACAGGCGCCTGCCACCACACCTGGCTAATTTTTGTATTTTTAGTAGAGACGGGGTTTCACCATGTTGATTGGACTTTGGGAGGCTGAGGCGGGTGGATCACCTGAGGTCAGGAGTTTGAGACCATCCTGGCCCATGGCAAAACCCCGTCTCTACTAAAAATACAAAAATTAGCCCGGGGTAGTGGCGAGCACCTATAATCCCAGCTACTCAACTCAGGAGGCTGAGGCAGGAGAATTGCTTGAACCTGGGAGGCGGAAATTGCAGTGAGCCGAGGTCATGCCACTACTCTAGCCTGGGTAAGAGAGCAGACTCCATTTAAAAAAAAAAAAAAAAACAAAACGTAATCCCCAGCCCTCCAGGTGTTTTCTGGTGGGGGAGATAGACCTGTGCACAGACACTCACAACACAGGGCAGACACGATTGGTGCTTTATGAAAGATACAAAAAGGAGAGTTAACTGCAGGGGTGACTGGGAAAGCTTGTGAAGGGGTTAGAATTCTAGTGGGGACAGGTAAAGAGAGTTGGCATTGTGGCTACTCCAGGTGCCAGAAACAGCCCAAGGACAGGTCCACGTGGAGGCAGGTAGGCGTGGATTTGCGGTGGGGTATCACAAGCAGCTTTGGGCATGATGCTGGAGAAGATGACACTAGTCCTGTGAGTGTCAAGTTCAGAAGATTGGAGTTCATTTGGTGGGCAGCGTGAAGCACTTAAAGGTTTTGAGGCCAACATCCAGGCTACTCATAAGTCTAAGTGTCCTGTTTTCCTTTTCTTTTTCTTTTTTTTTTTCTTTTGAGACGAGTTTTGCTGTTGTTGCCCAGGCTGGAGTGCAATGACGTGATCTCAGCTTACTGCAACCTCCGCCTCCTGGGTTCAAGCGATTCTCCAGCCTTGGCCTCCCAAGTAGCTGGGATTTGGTGCCTGCCACCACACCCGGGTGATTTTTTTGTATTTTTAATAGAGACGGGGTTTCACCATGTTGGTCAGACTGGTCTTGAACTCCTGACCTCAGGTAATCCACCTGCCTCGGCCTCCCAAAGTGCTTGGATTACAGGCAGGAGCCACTGCACCCGGCCAAGTGTCCTGTTTTTCTTGTGGAGCAGAGCTTGGTTCAGCTCATTTCAGTCGTTAGTGCTCCTTCCAGGTAAATGATATGACACCATCTGGTGGCTCCTTGCCTGCTGTAAGCTCTTGTACAGCCATAATGGGACTTTGCACTTGGTAGGTGCAGATGGAGTCTCACTCTGCCGCCCAGGCTGGCGTACAGCAGTGCCTTCTCGGTTCACTGCAACCTCTACCTTCTGGTTCAAGAGATTCTTATGCCTCAGCCTTCCTAGTAGCTGGGACTACAGGTGCATGCCACCATACCTGGCTAATTTTTTGTATTTTTTTGTAGAGACGGGGTTTCACCATATTGGCCAGGCTGGTCTCGAACTCCTGTCCTGAAGTGATCCGCCTGCCTCAGCCTCCCAAAGTGCTGTGATTACAGGTGAGCCCCTGGACCTGGCCAGAACTGTTTCTTGGGTAGGTTTTGGATGGATGTTCAGTCTGGTTCATTAGCGCCACCTGGTGGCTGATGATATTTGTTACATCTACTTCTTAAGGGGACAGTTGATGTGTTGATTTGCAAAGACAAGACAAATTACTTAAGGACACATTCTTCAACACTCCATGTGCATAATAGGTGCTGAATTAGTGAATGCCCTTGAATATTTTATTTTAGTTTTTTGAGACGGAGTCTTGCTCTGTTGCCAGGCTGGAGTGCGGTGGCGTGTTCTTGGCTCACTGCGACTTCTGCTTCCTGTGTTCAGGTGATTCCCCTGCCTTGGCCTCCCGAGTAGCTGGGAGTACAGGCGTGCACCACCATGCCCAACTAATTTTTTGTATTTTAGTAGAGACCAGGTTGGTCAGGATGGTCTCGATCTCCTGACCTCATGATCTGCCCGCCTTAGTCTCCCAAAGTCCTGGGATTATCAGCATGAGTCAGCATGCCTGTCTAAATTATTTATATTTTGAAAGAAAGCAGGCATATGCAGATCAGGAAAAGTATTTTGCCACATTCTTTAAAGCTTTATGTTTTGGGAAAGTTTAAATACTTATTGAGAGAGGATACAGGGAAAGTTAAATACTTCATCTCTGACCTTGGGAAATTTTCAGTCCCTTGGGAGTAATATAAATTGAAATATTTACTAATAAAATCAGTAAGCTGGTAGCTCTCAGACTAGCTGGTTATCAGAACCATCTGGGCAGTTTTGCAAATGCAGGCTCTCAGGCTGTTTCACTAGAGATTCTATTCAGGGGGTCTGGAGAAGGACTCAGGAGCTGGTATTTTTTCTTAGCATGCTCCCCTGTTAATTCTGGATGTGTTAGTGTGAACCTGAGCTGGAATCATCAGGGGTAGCTTCCTAGAGGAGATGGGTCTAGAATTGGCATCCCTTGCTTGGTTATAGAGTCTCCACCGTGGGCCAGGCATTGTGCTGGGGGCTGGGCCTCTGTGTTGAATCGCATGTAGTTCTGGGCCACCAGGAGCTCATGGTCTGATGTGGAAAGCTTCCAAACAAGTGGTTACAGTTCAATGAGATTGGTGCCAAGAAAAGTATGTGCAAAATGAGTCGGGGTACCGAAGATTCAGCACAGGATTTCCAGGCTGGAGACATCTGAACCTCTCTCAGGCTTTTAGGGAGAGGAAGAGCTTGTAAGAGCACACAAAAGGGAAACAACATGGCATATCTAGGGAACCATAAATAGTTTGGAATGGCTGGAATGTGGGTAAATATGGGAAAGTAGTAAGGGGCTGTGCTAGGAAGGTGAACAGGGGACAGACTGCACTCTGGCCTGATAGCCAAGGGGAGTCATGGCGGTGCTGTAAGCAGACAAGCCCCCTGAATCCCGGCTGCAGTGAAGGGTGGGGAGGGCTGGGCAGGAAGGGCAGGGCCTTTACTGAGGTGCTGCGGCTATAGAGAATGGAAATAGAATGGAAATGAGGCCCAGTGCGGTGGCTCCTGCCTTTCATCCCAGCACTGTGGGAGGCTGAGGCAGCCAGATTGTTTGAGACCAGCCTGGGCTACATGGTGAAACCCCATCTATACAAAAAATTAGCTGGGCGTGGTGGTGTGTGCCTGTAGTCCCAGCTGATTGGGAGGTGGTAGGAGAGCTGCTTGAGTCCGGGAGGTGGAGGTTACAGGGAGCCAAGATCTCACCACTGCACTCCACCCTCGGCGATGGGAGTGCAACCTTGTCTCCAAAAAATAGAGAGAGAGAGTAGAAATTAAATGAGGTGCCGTGGGCACTGAGGCAAGGCTCTGGGGTTGGAGCAGTTAGAACGGCGTGCCTTTGCACATGGCGCCCTTCCCACCAGGATACTCTGCTGTGGCCACTGGGCTCAGGAGTCTTCGATAGGCCTCTGCCAGGGAGGATCCTGCACAGTGCCCCTACACACCACTCCCTACTCTGCCTGCCTACCCAGAAGGTGACCTTTCTAGGTGAGGACTCAGATGCCCTTCCACCCTCACTGCCTGCTGGGCCCTTCTCCCTGAGTTTGTTGTCTCCCCAACACCTGTCCCTATCCCTCCAGGATGTGCGCCCCTGTGATGGTGGAGCTGGAGGGGGAGACTGATCCTCTGCTCATCGCCATGAAGGAACTCAAGTAAGTCAGTCAAATCATGGTTCACTTCTCCAGAGCTCTGGGAGGCATCTGCTGGGCTCTCTGTTGTACCCTTTGCTCCCACTTCCCTGACTGGGAAGTTGATGCTTGTTCCTACAGATCCTTAGGAACAGCTCACCAGGAGGTAGGAGGAAGAGAGAAGAGGAGGCAGGGAAAAGTGGAGGGCACTGATGAGAGGGGGCCTCTTCTGGCTGTTGGAATTTCCCTGTTCCTGCTGCAGGAGGCCTTACCAATATTCTGTCGCTCTTCCCCCTCTTGTCTGATATAAAAACTTTCTTTTTCTTGTAATTGCTTTCTGACAAAGTACCCTCATCAGTCCCAAGAGGCTGCTCCTAAGACTTCTCTTGCCTTGTGTTTCGCACACAATCTGTTCCTTCTGCGGCAGAGCTGGGGTCACCAGCCCTCATGTACTTGTGACTTCTCCCCTGCCACAGGGCCCGAAAGATCCCCATCATCATTCGCCGTTACCTGCCAGATGGGAGCTATGAAGACTGGGGGGTGGACGAGCTCATCATCACCGACTGAGCTGGAGTCATCTTCCTGCCCTTGCCCTGTGCCCAATTTTCAGTCTCATTTTATATGTGTAAATAATAAAATACTCAACCTTCCAACCCCCTTCCCCGCTGCTTATCTGCGATGTCACCACCTGTTGCTTCCCTGTGACTGCCCTGCTGCCTGGAGCATGCATCTATTCCAGTGGCCCTGTGACTGTCAGCTCCTTAAGAAGTACCAGGGGCCCTTAGCCCCTGTGGATCCCCCACATCCTTCCCTCCATCTCCCTGTCCCCAGAGCAAAGGCTGCTGCAGGGGAGACACCTCAGCTGCCTTCCTAGCAGACAGACGAGTCTTTGTGCCCAGGGAGCTGGTTGCCACGGAAACCCCCAATTTCCTTTCCAGTGGGGACTGGCTGCAGGGGCTTCTCCCTTCTCAGGAGTATCACAGAGCAGGTCTCATCAAGCCACCCATTGTTTCCTAAGGACCTGCTTCGAGCCTCTTATCGTGGGCTCGGATCCCCTTTCAGGAGCAGTGCCCCAGCAGGAAGCGTGGGGGTGTGCTGATCTCCCACCCTCCCCAGGCAGAGCCCTGCTGGGCAAGTCAGCAGCTGGAGCAAGGACAGAGCACCTGCCTGCCCCTGCCCCCACGACGCTGTCCCAACTCCTCCTCAGGACTCTGCCCACACACTGTCCTCTGTGGCCCACCTTTTTGTGTGCCACACCCATGCCCTCTTCCCACCCCCTGTAAGATGTCCTTTCCCTCCTGTGTGGGGCTGGTGATCCTCTGAGGCCTTGTGGGGATGGTGCTGGGGTAGAGGTGATCCTGGGTTCCAGGTGTTACATTAAGTCAGAGCTGGAGCTCCCCCTTCCTCTGCCTGAGGTTTTAATGGGTCCTCTTCCTTTCTCCATCCTGCTTACCCAGCCCGAGGTAAGATGAGTCACACAGGCTCCTCCCTCCTAGGGGTCAGGGGCGGGGCTATAATGACATGAACAGGGATAGAGGGAAAACTGGCTCCCTGAATATGCCAGCCTTGACTTCGATTCCACTGCCAGCTCTCCTTCCAAGAGGAGGAGCTGGGCTTCCCTAACCTCCACAGCAGGCAGGGCTCCAGGTCTCAACGCAGCCTGGGCCTGGCGTGGGGCGTGAGGAATGAGGGATGAGCTTCTGCACCGGTGGGAGGGCGTTTGCTGCCCTGGAGAAGGGTTAATTCAGGGAGCAGTGGACTTCACACCCCCATCCACCCTCCTCCAAGCCTGTGGAATCCTTTAATCAAGTTGGGTGCTGAAATTTCAGCTCTGAAATGCCGCCTTTGTGCTGGCATCCAGGCAGCCGCCCCAGAGTGCGGGGGTCACTTTCTCGGTCCCATTTCTCTAAATGGTCTCTTTGTTCCCTGCTGGGCTGCTCAGTATCAGATGTGATTAAAGGGAGATGGGGTTTGGGCTGGGGAGGAGGGGAGTGGGGGCTTAACCCTTAGGGGATAGGGTGCAAGGGAAATGGGACCGAAGGGGTGTTTTTCCTCCTGTCTCCCTCTTCCCATTCTCTTTTGGGGGAGTCCCCTGCTATTCAGCTGGCTGGGCCTGGGTTTTGACTTCTCTTGAATAAAATATGACGAGCCACCACTATTGGTTTTGTTTTCTTAGGGTTTGGGCATAATCTCTTCAGTCATTTCCAGAAACACCTGACCCTTTTTTTTTTAACAAGTGGAGCTCCTGCCTTCCTGAGGCCTGCACACACTTGGAATTTTTGGTTTAAGGGATGCGCACCCAGGTCTTCTGACCTCTCTGAGATCATTTCCCCTCCTCCCACATTCTCAGTGACTTCCCACTCAATCAGTCTCATCAGATTCGGGGTCTTGGGGATGGTAGTGTCCTCTTCTGGATGTGCCCTCTGCTCCCCACGGTGCCAGCTCCATATCCCTCATCCCACTGCGAGCAGGAGTAGTGAACAGATCGGAAGTGGGAAAATGTCCTGCCTTTCAATGAAGGGGAAAGGGTGGGTTGGAGAAATTATCAGCACATATAAGGTTAGTACTGATTGATCCATGAGAAAATTCTAGAATAGGTCACTCCATGTTTGAAAGCACTTATATAATAAAGAGGAGATGGGGTGCTAGCATAGGATATCTAAGAACCAATGTTGCCAAATAAAGTTTTTTCAACGGTTCCTGGTCCAGTAGGTTGAGGGAATGCCAGAGATCCAGGAATCTTGATTTTGACAAGGCATCGGCAGTCTCCATGCAACCGAGACAGAGAAGCATGTGCTTCATGATGGTGTAACTAGACAGTTTTAGAACTGATTAGACAGGCTCCTGAAGAGTGGAGATAATACAGCCAGGCGAGGTGGCTCACGCCTGTAATCCCAAGCACTTTGGGAGGCCGAGGTGGGTGAATCACAAGGTCAGGAAATCGAGACCATCCTGGCCAAGATGGTGAAACCCCATCTCTACTATAAAAAAATACAAAAAGCCCGGTGTGGTGGCATGCGCCTGTAGTCTCAGCTACTTGGGAGGCTGAGGCAGGGGAATTGCTTGAACCCGGGAGGCAGAGATTGTAGTAAGCCAAGATTGCACCACTGCAGTCCAACCTGGTGACAGAGCAAGACTGTTTAAAAAAAAAAAAAAAAGCGGCGATAATGGAATTGAAGTGGAGAGAGGTGTTTAGTGCCGTACGCAGGTGTCCCTCTTCATTTCAACCTTTATTAGTGACTTGAATGAGGCTATTCAAGTTTGCAGATACATAAAGCTCCAAAGGAGAGCTGGGTCCTAAAAGGTTTAATACAGGTGGGGAAATGGGTCAAATCCAACAAGGCGAGGTCTGTTAAATATCAGTGTAAAGTTCTGCTTTTGTCTACAACAAAACACCAAAACGGCATACGTACAATTTGGGTATGACTTTGCAATGGATATTGTCCAAAAGATCAGGGGGTTAGGTTACCATCCAGCTTCATGGGAACCAACAGTTTTGGGGAGGTTGCCTGAACAACTTCTGCGAAGCAGATCCCAGATGGAGGGAGTTTGGCCTCCCTGGGGACTGGTCTGTTTTGGTGCCCTGCCTCTCTGCCTGGTCCTGACTAGGGGCTGGAGACCATGGATGGAAGGAAGGAAGCTAAGGATGCCCAGGCTGGAGCAGTGAAAGACACATTGCTCCAGATACAAAGCAGAAGTAGGATCTGCAAACGACAGGCAGGTGGAGGGGATGCTGGTTAAGAGTGCAAGCCTTGGAGTCAGAGCTGGGTTCAGATTCTGGCACGAGCACTTCTTAGCATCAACCTCGCAAAGCTTGTTTCCCCATTTGGAAGACTGAGATAACGACTGGACCTACTCCTTCATTGGCCTGAATGACATAAAACCCTTGGGAGCACTGAGTAAATGGCAGCTGGGTATAAGCCGTTATGATCTGGGTATGAGGAAGAACTTCAACCATCGGAGCTGTTCATCAGTAGAGCAAGATGGCAAAGAGATTCCCCCTGTCCTTGGAGTTGTGAGCTTGTGAGGTAGAGTGGTCCTGGCCTCTGGGTGCAGTCTGGACTTCTGCTGAGGAAAGAGCTCTTAGGGAGTAGGAGCTTAAGGAGTAGACTGCATGTCCGACATCCTTGGTCTGGACTTGGGCACGGGCAGCTGCTGTGAAGGTTTGGCTAGATCCTGGCGTGGGCTGCCGTGTGTGTGCTAGGGGAGGTGGAGGCGGCAAGTGGGCGGATGCAGCCACGCAGGGCCCCTCCACACACCCTGAAGGACAGGCCTGACTGCAGACAGCACGGTGTCATACCCAACCCACCTCCTCTTCAGTACCAGTCTCGAATTCTCTGCAAACTCCCCTCTGCTGGGTGCTGGTGAGCAGAGTGGCTGCTTGGAAGGCAGTGAGTTCCAGCTGAGCCAGTTAAGAGTGAGTGGCCCTCTGCAGTGTGGGACACAGCTGGGCTGGGGAGAAGCTCCCATCTGAGGCTTCAGTCCCTGGGCTCAGATGGACCCCACTGGGATGCCAGCTGTCCTAACCCACTCCATTGTCCACATCTTCTTAGCGTGGGGGGAGAGAGAGAAAGGAGAGGGGAATGAAAGAGACAGAGAGAGAGAGAGAGAGAGAGAGAGAGGAAGGGGAGGGGAAAGAGGGTGGAGTGGGGGGAGAGCGAGAGATCTTTGATGATCTGTCCTTTGCATTCTACTCCTAGCTACTTCCAGAAAGCGTCTGAGGAAGCACAGGTGCAGGGCTGAGATCAAGAGACAGGCCAGGTCAGGCTCACCAAGCAGGTAACCGGAACCTTTAATTTTATTATGTGGAATGCTTAATGCAGAGTTAATAGGGTCTAGAGTGGCTAGGAGAGGGGACTACTGAGATAAATAAAAGGAGACAGTAATGAGTTACATGTGAATGGGGGGGCTGCAGAACAGGAACATGGGGGCGGATGTAGCTACATACTTTATTCAAATACCACTGGGAGGCAAGGGGCAAGAGGCAAGGGCAGAAGGTACATGTCAGGAGTCTAGTGTCTTCAGCCTGCTGCCAGCAACCTGGGTGCTGGGCCCTGTGTCTCCTGCAGCCAAGGGTTTGGGCCTGAGCAGCTCTAACTCTCTGGGAAGCCAGGGAGTGGGGCTGACAGAGCAGGGGCTGTAGAGCCTAGTAAGGGAAGGGGGAGCTGGCGAGGAGCCCGGGGTGGGGGGAGGCTCTGTGAATTGTCTCTGATTCCTTTCCTGGAGCCCCTGCCTCCTCGCCTCCTGGGATGCGCCTCAAGGTCACAGAGGTTGTAGTGGAGGAGGACTGGGGGCTCTTTCTCGATTAGACAAAGAATGAGGTTATTGGCACAGAATTGGATCTGGGGGCCTCTGTGCCAACTCCTTCCTGCCTTCGGGAGGGGAGGGGGCATTGAAGGGATGAGAACTCCACTAAGTCCCTCGAACCTCCCACTCCCCATGATGCTCCTCAAAGCTACTCTCAGCCCCTGAGTAGGAGACACGGCCAGCTCCAGGCAGAGTCTCTGAGTGGCCTAGCTCTTAGGTACTGTGGCATTGGTGGCATGGGCATGTCAGACCCTCACTCTCCATGAGAGAGGAAACAGGAGTGCATAGGAGTGGTAAGGCCTCCGATGCCACCAACCCTGGTGCTTCCCCTCCCTGAGGCGGGTGAGCAGGTCCTTCTCAGGTCCTGGGGTAGAGGGTCATTCCTGGGGGGAAGGTGCAGCCCCTCATCTTTCAGTGTGGGAGCAACAGTCAACCTCCTTCTCCTCTGCCCAGCCTGCTCGCCTGGGGCTTTGCTGCTGGAGCCTGGATGGGGCGGGTGGGTCTTCAGGGCAGTGAGCCAGACAGAAAGCCACCCCCAGCTGTCAGCCTCTGCAGCCTCCTCCACTGCCACCGCCAGGCCTGAGGTGGGCGAGGAACAGGGCACACAGGCTGGGGGCAGGGGCTGGGCAGGGGGTGGTGGTAACAGGATCCCCTTTAGGGCCGGGACAGCGTCGTATATACTGGCTGCTCCCAGTGTGTAGGGCTGTGGGACTGGGGCCCTGAAGGGCTGGGGTCAGAGATGGCCGTGTAGAGGGGCCGCTGCGAGGGCCCCATATAGGAGAAGGCCGAGTAGAGGCCAGAGGCTTGGCTGGAGTGGCCATAATAGGGTCCTGAGGGCTGATGGTCAGAGTAGTCAAACTGGGGGCGGGAGATGGAGGGGAAGGCTGAGCCATAATGGGGCAGGCTGAGGGAGGTGTAGGCGATCTGTGAGGTGGATGGCTGGTCAGTGTAGTGCGGGGGCCCCTGGGGCCCCGCGGTCTCTGTCTTCACCTGGGCTTTGGCATCCACACCAGGTGGTGAGACCGTGGGCAGAGCCACACCTGGTGGCTTGGAGATCCAGGCGGAGTGTCCACTGGCCACAGCCAGGGCGCTGCCCAGGCCATAGCCAGCTGCTGAGTAGCTGCCCACGTGGCCTGGGTGCCCATTGGGCGGTAGGTACTGGTCCAACTCAGCCACATCAAAGGTCTCCATGTTGGACATTACCTCGTGGCTGATCTCACCGATGTCCACGTTGCCGAAGTCGATGTGAGGCTTCCCGCCCTCCCCCATGGAGCGCCCGTCCCGCTTGGGGTCTGCCTTGCCCGACTGCAGCTCTGTCTTTGGGGTGGTTGGAGGGGTCGGTGGGCCATGGCTCTGGCCTGGGTGGAAGGGAGACAGAGAGAGAGAGCAAGGGGGAAGCAGGTTAGAGCCAGGTGGGTGCACGTGAACTTCGATAGTTCACCTTCAGGCAGCAGGTGCCTCTGGGAAGTTGAGGTCTGATTGCTGCTCTGACCTTTTAAGTGTCACGTTTTCGCAGCATGAGTCAGTATTTGTTTAAATACTGGTCTTAGTAAATACTGGTCTCTAGTTGTTTATGAAATTCTCAAATCTTAGGGATGGGTCCTGCCTCCTCCCCTGTCACCCACGAGGGGAGGCCTGCCTCATTCTGAAAAACCTTTCCTGTGGAAAGTTCTTCCTCTCATCAGCTTCTCTGTTGCCCAGGTGGTCTGGCCCGGCCTTTGCACTCTGCCAGCCCCGCTTCTGTGCCCCTGCCGACTGCCCTCTATGCTAAGCCTCACTTGCCCAGACTCCTGAGTGCTCTGTTTCACCTTTGCTGGTTGCCTGGGCCTGCCCCCTGTCCCGGCCTCGTGATGTGTCCTTTCCAGTCCTTCCCTCCTCCTGAGCCCGCCCTGCTGCCCAGCCCACTGGCAGGCCCTCGGCCCCGTCACACCCTGGCCTGTGTTGCCCTGTCATTCCTTGAGCTGCCTACCTCTGTGGGAGGGCACTTAGAAAACTGGTTCTTGTTCCTTTATATGTTCACTTTCCTTTTCACATATTAATTTGGCAAACTTTTAGGGAGCATTACAAAACACCAGGTACTGTGCCAGGTGCTGGGGATACACATGTAAATAAAATGGATCCCTGTCCCCAAAGCTCATAGTTTAGTCACAGATCCATAGATCCACATGCGCCCAGAGTTGGAAGTGCTGTGATGACTTCCAACTCTGGAAGGACCTGGGAGACCAGAGGAGTCTACCCGCTGCCCCAGGGATCTAGGGAAGGTCTCATCGGGAAAGGATGTCTGAGTGGGGCGGGGCCTTGAAGGGTGAGAAGTCTGTGTCCACAGTTTCATTCTGAGGTGGTTGTTCTGTACATAGTCCAGGGTCTCCTGATGTGTGTGTGTGTGTCCCTGGATCTCTGCAGGTGAACAGTATGTACATGTGTGTGGGAGAGAACGTGTCCATGGCCTTAAGAGACTCTGAGCTCCCCAAGGACAGGCCTGTGCCTCCTCCATCAGACCAGAGGCAGCGCCGATTCCTGCATTGGCCAGGGGCTCTGTACTTCAAGAGACCTGCCTAGGTTTCTGAATCCTGGTTCTGTGTCTGGACAACTCCCCTGTCTTCTCTTAACTAGTTTCCCTGTTAGTAAAATAGAGATTATACCAAGCAGCCTAGACATTGCCTCTTTCTGGAAGCCTCTTCCTTGACAAGAGTCGGGTGGGTAGCGGGGTGTTCTTGGAGACCTGACTGGATGGGATGACGGGCGGATTACTCCCCCAGAGGCCGTGCCACCTCTGGATGTCACACAAGCTTCTTGTACACTTGTTTCTTTCTATACTTTTTTGTTTTTTTAAGAGATAGGCCAGGCATAGCAGCTCATGCCTGTAATCCCAGCACTTTGGGAGGCTGAGGTGGGTAGATCACTTAAGGTCAGAAATTTGAGACCAGCCTGGGTGAAACCCCGTCTCTACTAAAAATACAATAATTAGCCGGTGTGGTGGCTTGCACCTGTAATCCCAGCTACTGAGGAGGCTGAGGCATGAGAATTGCTTAAACCCAGGAGGCAGAGAGAGGTTGCAGTGGACCGAGATGGCACCACTGCACTGCAGCCTGGGCAACAGATCGAGACTGCATCTCAAAAAAAGCTGGGCGCAGTGGCTTACACCTGTAATCTCAGCACTTTGGGAGGCTGAGGCTGGCAGATCATGAGGTCAGGAGTTCGAGACGAATCTGGACAACATAGTGAAACCCTGTCTCTACTAAAAATATAAAAAATTAGCCAGGTGTGGTGGTGTGCACCTGTAATCCCAGCTGCTAGGGAGGCTGAGGCAGGAGAGTTGCGTGAACCCGGAAGGTGGAGGTGGAAGTGAGCCAAGGTCACGCCATTGCACTCCAGCCCAGGCAACAGTGTGAGACTCCGTCTCAAAAAAAAAAGGACACAGAGTTTTACTATATTGCCCATACTGGTATCAAACTCACAGCCTCCTGTGTAGCTGGGACTGCAGGCGTGTTCCACTATGCCTAGCTTTGTTTCTTCCTGTACTAACTCACTCGCTTTCATCCCTGCTCCTCTCTAGACTATGGGCCCCTGAGGCCAGGGACTGTAGGCTTCTCCGGCTAGTACCCCTGGTGTCCACTCCAGTGCTTGGCATGAAGTAGGATTCAGAGCACGTCCTCTGAAGGCAGAGCTCTGCTCACCGAGCACTTCTCATGTGGCAGACCTATGTCATTTTCTGTACATTGGGAACGCAGGCAAGGGAGCCGTGGTGCCAAGCAGAAGCCCTGGAGCCAAACTGGGGAAATTCTTGTCTGTTTTCTCATCAGTAAAATGAGAGTAACTTGCCACAGCTGAGTTCTGAGCCCTTGCAGTTTGGCTACCTCACCACGTTGTTTGCAATGACTGAGTTAGTAGACATAAGGCAAGCAGCACAGCACCTGACACAGAGTAGGTGCTCAATTAATGTTAGCCGTTATTATCATTAATGAGAAACAAGATAGCTATGTCTGGCCCATCCATGGCCTATGCTCAGCATCATATGCCGTGTCTCTTCTGTCAGAATGGGTGGTGGGATTTGGGAGGCCAAAGTGGGCAGATTGCCTGGGCTCAGGAATTGGAGACCAGCCTGGGCAATACGGTGAAACTCTACTAAAATACAAAAAATCAGCTGGACCTGGTGGCGTGCACCTGTAGTCCCAGTTACTCGGGAGGCTGAGGCAGGAGAATTGTTTGAACCTGAAAGGTGGAGGTTGCAGTGAGCCGAGATCATGCCACTGCAGTCTAGCCTGGGTGACAGAGCAAGACTCTGTCTCCAAAAAAAAAAAAAAAAAAAAATGAATAGCCATTGGGAAAGAGGCAGTGATTTCCTCTCCGTTTAATCATCCATTTCTCAAACCCATCCTGTCTTCTCCCTCTTTCCTTGTAACTGCCCCAGACACCTCTCACTCCATGGCCTCCATAGACTCTTTAACTGGCCCTATTTGCCCAGCAGCAGTGACCCCTTGGATCAGTCCTGGCCAGAACCCTCTTGCCCAGCCACTGCCCCTCGTACTGGCGTCCCCATGGAACTCCCTCTGGGCCACTGCAGCTCTGCTGGGGCAATTGCACAACCTGGCACAGTCTCCCCAGGGTCCAGGGCTGCTGGGGGAGCGTCTGGGTCTCATGCCATCCAGCCCTCTCCTCTCTCCACTGCCTGGGCTTGCCCTACCCCCAGCTCTGTCATCAGCACTCACCTGAGGGATGCTCGGGGTTCCCATCTGACATGGGGGAGCCCTCTCCTGGGTGCCGGTGGTCCAGGTGGGCACTCTTGTAGTGGGCCTGGATGGCAGCGGTCCCACCTTGCTCAGCCTCCCCACCAGGGCACTCCGCCTCGCCCTGGGTGGCCTTGCCATTCTTCCGCCGCCTGGGTTGGTACTTGTAGTCCGGGTGGTCCTTCTTGTGCTGCATACGGAGCCGCTCAGCCTCCTCGATGAAGGGGCGCTTGTCACTTTCATTCAACAGCCTGGGATGGGGTGGGTGGCAGAGAGGGGCCGGTGTGAGTGCCAGAGCACTCCAGGTTGGCCTCCCTCTGAGTGTCCATCTTGGAAGGCAGGAGACCCTGGGATAGGGCACCCAGAGGACAGGACCTGGGTGGGGCTCTGCCCTATGATTTATGGACTGAGAGATGTGAGGCCCAAGGAATAATAGCCTCAGAGGGCTGTGATCTCTGCCTCCAAATCTTTCACGGGCTGGAGGGTGAGCGAGGGGTCAGTCCGCTGCTTCTGGTAGCCCCTGAGGAGGAGTTAGAAGTAGGAGTAAAGGTTTCAAGGGGCAGATGCCAGTTAAAGGAAAGGAAACACTTTCTCATCATCAAAGCTGTCTGCAAGTGGAATTGGCTGTCTCATTAGGGGGTGAGCTCCCTGGGACTGGGGGTGGGCAAACAGAAGCAGTGTGGCTGGGGGAGAGCTCAGTCTCTGCTACTTACTAGCTGTGTGTGTGACCTTGAGCAAATTACTTCTCTGAGCCTGAGTTTCTTCACCTATAAAAGGATGATAACATCTTCTTAACTTGGGTGTGGGATTGGCCAGAATAATGGATGTGAAGTGCCTTGAACCAGGGCCTGGGAAGCAGGTTGCGCACCTTGAGAAAGAGACGTTTTTCCTTCTCTCTTTCTTTCTTTCTTTTTTTTTTTTTTTTGTGAGGGAGTCTCACCCTGTCACCCATGCTGGAGTGCAATGGTGCGATCTCGGCTCACTGCAACCTCTGCCTCCAGGGTTCAAGTGATTCTTGTGCCTTAGCCTCCTGAGTAGCTGGGATTACAAGCATGAGCCACCATGCCTGGCTAATTTTTGTGTTTTTAGTAGAGACGGGGTTTCACCACGTTGGCTGGTCTTGAACCCCTGACCTCAAGTGATCTGACTGCCTCAGGCTCCTAAAGTGCTGGGATTACAGGCATGAGCCACTGTGCCCGACTCAAGAGGTGCTTTTCTATTTTTTATTTTTTTGGGGACAGTCTCACTCTGTCACCCTGGCTGGAGTGCCATGGCACGATCTTGGCTGACTGCAATCTCCACCTCCTGGGTTCAAGCGATTCTCCTGCTTCAGTCTCCCAAGTAGCTGGGACTACAGGCACATGCCACCAGGCTCGGCTGATTTTTGTATTTTTAGTAGAGATGAGGTTTCACCATGTTGGTCAGGCTGGTCTCGAACTCCTGACCTCAGATGATCCACCAGCTTCAGCCTCCCAAAGTGCTGGGATTATAGGCATGAGCCACTGCGCCCAGCCCAGAGAGGTGCTTTTCTAACGCTGCTCGTGTGGGTGGTTGGACCAGAGGATCTAGGGGTGGCCTCTCAACTCTGGGTCCTGACTGTGTGAATTCCAGTGTGGTGGGATTGAGAGGCAGATGTGGGTCCTCTTCACCATGGGTCAGGGCGGGGGGCACTGTCTTCTGCGGGGGTCCTATATCCATGTCCAGAAGATAACAGAGGGTAGTTCTTAAAGAATTTGGGGGGAAAAAAAAATATATATATATATATATATGTGTGTGTGTATATATATATATATGTGTGTGTGTGTGTGTGTGTGTATGCATATATATATATATGTGTGTGTGTGTGTGTGTGTGTATGCATGCATATATATATATATATGAAAGAAGATAACAGAGGGTTGAGGAAGCTAGTCTCTCCTCAGACCCTGGGACAGTCCCCGAAGCCAACACATGGAGGGAAGAAGCCCTGAAGCCAGTGCCCTTGCCACCGACTCCAGCCTCAGGCTGGGGTTGGAGGGGGAGGTCATTCAGGGTTTGGCTGCCCCAGGGTGAGGAGGGCAGGATGCGGTACCATACAGAGGGGCCCGAGGGGAAAGTCCACAGATTCTAGGATCCCAGACCTTGGGACTGACAGTCTATGAGTCTTGGTGGGAGCAGCCCTGTCTGTCAGTCCAGAGGGCCTCTCTTTCCTGCCCCACCCCTCACACCCCAGTGGGTGCCCTCTTTCCCCAGTCAGCAGAAGGCCGAGCCCTCCCTCCCCAGGCTGGGCGGGGGTGGTCATGCCAGGCACCTCCTAGCGGGCAGCAGCATTCCTCTGCGGCTTAGCCTCCCTGTCTACTCCCCCCACCCCCGCCCTGAGCCCAGCCCTAGCTCCAGCTTTCTCCGAGGGTCCCTCCAGCCGAGACTGTCAGAGTCAGTGGACACACTTAGGACGGAGATGCTGGAGCAGGGCCTTGAGAGTCAGGGAGTGGGATGCAGGTGCCCTCTCTGATGGCTGGGACCAGGGGAGGGGGTGGAGCAGGCCTTGAGAGTGTCACTGGGGAGAGCCCACAGAGGAGAGAGCTGCTCAGCCAGCAGCGGGCCCCAGCACAGAGGCTTCAGGGATAGCTGGGGACATGGGACACAGAGCTCACACTCTCACTCATCCTTCCCTTGCCCCTTGCTCAGCTGGCAGCCAGCAATCAGCAGGAAAGTGACAGGGGCCAGAAGAGAGGGGTAATTTCAACATTGGATCCCACTGCCACCTCCTCAGCTAGTTCCCAGCATTAGCCTAACCCTGACAGAAACCTAAGCCCCGGCCTGCTGCCATCCCTGACCCCAGCCCTAACCCCAGTGCCTCCTCCACCAGCTGTGCGGGACAGCTGATTCTACCTCCAGCCCAACCCCAGACCCAGCCTGCCCACCATGTAAACCCAATCTCCAGCACCAGCCCTCACTCAACATTACCAGCCCCAAACCCCCCACATTGCCCCTAGCTCTAACTCCAAAACCATCCTCATTTGTGCCTTCCCATCAGCCCTCTTTCCCCTTGATCTCCCAGGTTTGGAATGGGGCTGGGAAGAGGTAGGCTGATCCCCCACCCAAACTGGAAACCCCAACCAGAGAGCTCCCACAGTGGGGCACCGGTTGCTCCTACATGTGTCCTGCTAGGCCAGGGGCATAAGAAGATTTTACCTGGGGAAGGGGCCTGTGGCACTGGGAACAGGAGAGGCTGGGTGACCCCCACCATGAGGGAGGGATTCTTATCTGTGTTCCCTTTTCCAGTTTCTTGGCTCTGGTTTTTTCCAGGCAGGTCAACCAACCCACAGCCATTACCCTGTGATCAGCCTCTACTAGCCCCTCCCCAGATGGGCATTAAAGGTTAGCATGACTTCGGGGCTCACATGGCCCCTTAGGACCTGGGCTCCAGCGTGTCTGATCCCACATTCCCTTGGGGCTCTCCACACAGTTTGTATCTTTCTCTTTTTGGTTTTAAGACACCTGTTGTCCAGCTCTGCCTACCTAACGACCCCCCCTTCCTGACATCCCGGGAGTCACAGCTTAGGGAGGTTCAGGAGAAGCTCCTGGAGCAATTGGCCAGCCCAGCCCACATCCACATGTCTTTCAAGACCCCCATCCAGGGTCTAGGGAGCCACCATCTGTTGGCATTGCCTTTGATCCTTGCCATGATTCTGGCCCCTTCCTCCCTCTGGCACTGGGTTCTCAGCAAGCAGTGCGAGTTTTCCTGATTGCCACACCCCAGGCTGGCCCCTGTGCACATAACTTGAGTGATGGCCAAGAATGAGTCCTCCTGAAGGGAGTCCAAGCCCAGGGTTCTGGGCTGGGGGAATCTGGGGACAGGGACAAAGGAGGAACCAATCTCAAACCCTTGGCAATGGGAGGTAGAGGGAGAATGGGGTCCATCCTTGCTTTGACTCTCGTTGAGCTCACACTGTGGTCTTCTCATGGTCCCCAGGGCCTGCCCTGTCTGTCTCTCCTGGTTGTCTGTTTCTCACTTGCTCTTCTTTGTTCCCTGGCACTAAAGGTACTGGCGTGGGTCAAGCCCCATCCAAATCTGAATGGACCTTGGTCGGAGGAGCTAGCTGTGACCTCTATTCTTGAGCAGAACTGGGCTGTCTGGGTCCACACAGCGGCCTGGTTGCTGAGCCCTGGGCCTGCCCTGGGTGAGCAGGGTGATAAGGGCTGAGGAAGGGCAGGGGAAGGGACACCAGGCCTTCAGCAAACACCTGGCAAGAACAGGCCAGGGGGCTGTTGAATCTTTTGATCTGTTGGAGACCCTCCTGCTCCTTCCACCACTCTAAGCCTCTAGACCCAATCTCTGCCCAGCTGTGGCTGGCAAGGGGGAGGGCAGCAGAAGGAAGGCAGGCTCCTCTGACAAAGCCCTTGCTTTCTGGGACCCAGATCTCCACAACTTCTTGTTTCCCCCCAACCTCCTGGCCACTCCTCAGAGTAAAGGTCATCCACCACTGTCTCCAGGGACAATGTCGGGGAAGTCCTCTGGACGAAGTATGGGAGTCCTGTGTTCTGGCCCTGGCTCTGCCACCAACTTCTATGTGACCTTTGTGATTGATTCCTTTGCCTTTCTGGGCCTGTCTCTTGGCCAGTCTAGTGGGAATCAGGTGACTGCTACTGGCTCACATCTCCTGGAGTCCCTGTTCTCTTTCGGAGCTGCTCTGGGACTCCTGGGGTGGGAGTGGGGGGTTGCCTTGTTCCACACATCCCCAGGAGGCCTGGCTGAACCCAAGATCTGAGTTGAGGGTGGCAGAATCGCTCCCTGGGGGGGACGTTTTTCCTAGAGGTGTGGGCTGGTCCCAGGGAACCTGGGACTCTGAGGGCCCCTGGGCAGGAAGGGGGCCAAGGTTTCCTTCTGGACAGCGTGCTCAGCTCCAGCTCTGGGGCTAGGGGGAAGAGGTTGCTCATTGTTGGGGTGGGGCGCTGGCAGGGAAGATGGCGCCGAACTGGGAGAGGGAGGAAAGGAAAGAGATCAGCTTGGTGGCTCTGGGACAGGGCAGGAGGAGGCAGCCCCTTTCTGTGTGTCCTCTCCCTAGGAGGATGAAGAAGCCCCAATTCACAGGAGGGTGGGGTCAGAAAGTCTCAGGGAAGACCCTTAGGATAGGATGAGGTCCTGCAGCAGCAGGAACGTTTCCCCCAAAGTTCTTCATCCCTCACTCTTCCAAAGACCCTCATCTGAATTCCTTGTTTGCTTTGGACTTCCCCCGAGTTCTCCATCTGACTGCCTCAGTTTCCCTGCATCTCCAGCCAAGCCTTTGGTTCCTTCCAAGCGTTTCCCTCGAATCCTCCTGACCACAGCAGCTGGTGGCATGAGTGTGCGTGTCTGTGGGCAGGGCGTTAGTGAAGGTCTCCCTCCCTCCCTAGGAAGCCCCAGGCCCCACGGTCTGCCACCCGCAGAATTCCAACCACGAGGGGGCGCCTTCCTGCCCGCTGCCCTGAGGGGAGACCCGGCCTAGGCCTCTGGAGTTCCGAGTTCCAGGGTCCTTGTGGTGGAAGGGCGGGCGCGGCCCCCACACCTGGTCTCCAGCCCCATCCAAGGAGGACTGCCAGGCAATCCCGCTCTGGGGTGCAGGATTGCTCTGGCGTGCGGGCCGCCTCGGCTTCCCTGAATCCACCCGAAGCTAGAGGGCCGAGCCCGGGGCGGTCGGGTGCTCACCTCCAGAGCTTGCCCAGCGTCTTGCTGAGCTCGGCATTGTGCAGGTGCGGGTACTGGTCCGCGAGCTTCCTGCGTGCCGCCTGCGCCCACACCATGAAGGCGTTCATGGGCCGTTTGACGTGCGGCTTGCTCTTGCTGGCGCCATTGACGCGCACGGGCATGGGCACCAGCGTCCAGTCGTAGCCGCTAAGCACCTGGCTGACGGCCTCGCGGATGCACACGGGGAACTTGTCATCGTCCGCCTCGCCGTCCTGCTGCTCCTTCTTGACCTTGCCCAGCTCGCCGGGCCCTGGGCTGGCTCGCAGGCCCGATCCGCCGCCGCCGCCGCCGCCGTCGGGCCCTAGCGAGGGCGCGCTCCCCGGGGACAAGCAGCGGGGCTCCTCGGAGCCCACGGGGCTCAGCTCCACCTCGGATAGGTCCTGCTCCTCCGCCATGTCGCCCCCGGCCGCCTCCGCCGCCTCCCCCGGGCCCGCCGCCGGGGTCCTCGCGAAGAGTCCAACGCCCACCTGGATGGAAGGAGGGCGCGATGGAGCGGCGGCGCGCGCAGCCCCGAGGGCGGCCCGGGACGGGACGCAGGCACAGCCCCGAGGTGGTGGCCCTTCCTGCTCCAGCTAAACCCACTCTGGCCCCTGGGGCCCACGCACATGCCAGACTCTAGGTGGGTGCGTCCCGCCTCTGCGTCTTCCCACCACCAGGTCCCAACGGTCTCTTGGTGTGGGTGGCTTTTTTTTTTTTCAACCTCCTTTTTTGGTGGAGGTTTGTTGATGATAAGGAAGAAAAAAACGGAACCTTTATTTTGCCCTAATCCCGGCCCCTGGAATTTCCCACCTTTTCTCTCACCTTTCCTTCTTCCCTCAGCCTGCCCCAACGGGGTTTAGAGGAGAGCCAGGTAGGGGGCAAGGGCGAGGTGTCGCCGCTCTCCACCCCACAGCAGGGTCCCAGGCCTGAGCGGGCCAGGGACAGCAGGCTGCGCACTCACCTCCTCGGACCTCTCCTCCAGTCTGGGGCTCGTCCTTAGGAAGTGGAAAACCGTGTCCCAAGGTGTGCGGTCCAGCTCGGGGCTGGGGGGTGACGCTGGTGCGCTGGGAGGGAGGGGCGGGAGGCCCTGAGCCTCAGGCCACGGCCTTGTTAGGACGGAGCCTGAATCCTTACCACCAACCACCCTGGCCGGACAGCCCGAGACTGACTGAGCGACTGAGCCGCTGCAGAGGGCTGGGGAAGGAAGGAGGGGGAGAGGGGGGAGGGGGAGAGGAGGGAGGGAAGGGCAGAAGGTGGAGCCTCCAGGCTTTCCTTCATCCCCAACACTCAGGGCTCCTCCACCCGGAGCCCAGGCCCCCCCACCTAACTCCCTGCCCTGCTGCCCAGGCCCATCTCGCTGGGGCTTAGCTTAGGCTTCGTCCGGGAGGCGGAGGGGTGGTTAGGCCAGGGAAGGAAGAGATGAAGGTGGGAGGGTCAGAACCTGTTGCTTGGAGGAAAATTTGGGCCTTCAGGACCCCCTGCCTCTGGTAGGATGGGCACTTGGCAGGGGACTAGGGAGAGACATGAAGGTGTTGAGCGTTCTGTGGGCCCGTGAGGGAGGCTGGCCCGAGCTGCTTCATCTTCAAAATCCTGTTGAGTGCCTACTGCATGCTGGGCACCACTGCCCAGCTCCCCACCCTGCCTCCCACCTTTTCCCAGGCTGCCCTTTCTGCCACATCCTGCACAGTGGAAGAGACTTCTCAGGGCTCCCCCTGAGACAATCAGAGCCCCAGCTTGAGCCCTGGCCCCTTCTTTGCAGACACCCAGCGCACACATGGGCTGGTCTGGTTCAAGGGGCTGAGGGGTTCCCAGGAGGGCCAAGGTGGGACAGGGTGGGGGCCCTCTCTCAGTAGGTCTTAGAGGCATTCTGAGTTCCTGCTTCCTGGGACCCAACTCCCTCCACGCGGGGATCACCCTGTCGTGGGAGAGGGTGAGGGAGTCCTAGTTCTGGTTGTCATGAAGTCCTCTACTCCACCACCCCAAGAAGGGCTAGGGCCTTGCCCTGCGTCTTCCCTCCTCTGCCCACCTCTCCCTCCCTCCCCTATTCTTTCCTGCCCATCATCCCAGGACACCTCCTGTCTCCTTCCTAGGCCTCTCCTCCAAAGGCCTCTCCTTCCTCTTAACTGAGGGCAGCCCCACCCAGGTGTTGAGGCCAAGGTGGGGTGCATGTGGGGTATGCAGTGGAGCTGGGGCCACATTGGCGACCATGTGTGGTTCTGAGCCCCTCAGCAGCTGGGCAAGGCCCCAAGCCCACCTCAAGGGGTCCTGTCTGGAGTGGGCTGGAAGGGGTCTGGGGAGGCAAGGCCTCATGCTTGGGAAAGGCCAAAGGGGCGTGGGGGGTGGGTAATGGGATACAATGAGGTAGTCACACGAGGCAGAGGCATGTTGGGGGTGGGGGGAGCGGACACTGGAACACACACACACACACACACACACATGCTCACACACACAACCAGCCAGACAATCGGGCCAGTGTGTCTGGGGCCTCGGAGCCCAGTGAATTAGGAGTTTGATAAGGGTTTTCTCTTTCTCTCGCTTGCTGGCCTTGGACAATCTCCCCCCAGTTTTCCTCGACGCCACCCCCGGCGCTGCCAACCCTCCTCCCCCCGCCTCTCTTCTCTTCCCTGTGCCCAGACTCTTGTTCGGGGCCTTGAAACAGTGAGCTGTCTTTGTTCGAAATACAGGTGAACGGCAATCATGTGATTAACACACACACACATAAAAAGCTTTTTAACAGCGCCCGCTCGGCCTCAGAACCGCCCGGAGAGGAGCCGCCCTGGATGGACAGAGGGACGAGGACGAGCATCTAGCCAGTCGTGCCCGGCTGCCCTGCAGTCGCCTCCAACACCCGCTGCTGCCCGCCCGCTGCCTGCCTGCCTGGCATCTCTCTCTCCCGGTGGGTCCCCACTCATCCTTCCACCCCTCAGTTCCTCCTCTTTGAGGAAAGGACCTCCCTGCTCTCTGCTGTGTCTGTGACTGGCCTGAGGCCCCCTGGGGCAGGAGGGGTGGTTGTGGAGGGAAAGAACCTAGAGTTAGGAGGTAGAATGTGGGGTCCCACAGCTGCCCCCTCTCTAACTCCCTGTCTCCTCCTTTGCCCTCCTTGGCCCAGCTGTGCCAGGATGGGGGTGGGGGTAGCAGTGGGCACGCTCTGTCTGCAGGAAGCCACGCTAGACAGAAGGGGCCACTCCCTCTCTCTCTCCCTTGTCCCCGCACAGACACTGCCTTCCTCTCAGGGCTGTGCTGGGCTTTCTGCTGAGCAGTGCTGGGTGAGGCAGGTGGGCCTGCAGAGGGGTAGGAAGGGCTGTCAGATGACCAGGGCTGTGTGTGTGGTTGGGTCCCTGCTGCGAACACATCCCTGCCCACCATGATGGCAACTGGGTTCCCCTCCATCCCATCCTAGGCCCTAGGAACCCAGTTTTCTCCAGCAGGGGAGGGTGAAGGACCCACATTCATCCCTGAAGAGCAGGGAGCTTAGAGAGGGGAGGGATCCCGGCTGAAGACACCTGGGCCTCTGCCCCAGCAGGACGACAGGAGGGCCAGCGTTGCCTTCTCCTCCTTTCCCTGCTGGGGTTGGTAGGGGTCCCTTTACCCGTCATTCCTGACCCTTCCTCAGGGATGCTTGTAACCTCCTTACCCCACCCCCCATCACCCCTCTGTCCTGAAATGAGGGTTTGTCACTGTCCATGGCAAGATGTGGTGTCTGGTGGGCTCTGTGGCCTGTCCTCTGTCTGGGTGTTTATTTCGCAGCAGAGAGGCGCCTGGTCTGAGCAGAATGGTGGAAATCCAGGCTTCCTTCCATGGCCCAAGGAGGCCTTTCTGGAGCAACAGAGTTTTCCTGGGACTCGGCCTGGCTTTTGTTAAGGCTGGTCCCAGATTTACTCAGAAAATGGGTCCTGGAGAGGAGGAGAGGAAAGGAATATCTGTCAGTCAAACGTGAAGCCCACTGATGACACTGCCTGGCAGAGCTGCCTCCGCTCAGCAGTGACCCTTCATCCCCCGGCTCCCGAGTCCTCTTCCTGAGGACTGCAGCTGGCCCTGCTTTCCACCTGTGTTCCCCACCCTGGGTTCCTGGTCCCTCACCTGTCACATGGAGCGAAGGTCACCCTCCCTCCCTGCCTGCCCTGCAGGATACACTGAAATGAAGCTCAGGAAATCTGCTGCCTGCAGAGCCAGGGGTGATAGAGGAGTGAGGGATGGTCTGGTCAAGTTCAGGCTCTGCCCCAGCCTCAGTTTCCCCACACAGGCATGAAACTGTCTTCCTGACTCTCAGAGGACAGGGCTGAGATGGGATGAGGGAACACAGGGAAAGTATTTCGCACCTCTGAGTGCTGTGCGGATGCGACCGGGCGGGGGGTGGAGGTCCTGGCCATCCTCTCTCTAATTCCATCTGGCCTGTGCGCCCTCCTACCTCCAGTTGCCCTTTCCCAGGGGCCTGGCTTGCGGAGACAGGGTTTGGTCTAGGGCAGTGCTTCTCAAATGGGAAGGCGCACGGTGATTCTTCAGATTAGGGTGGGGCCTGAGGTTCTGCATTTCTAACCAGTTGCTTAGGACTGGCTCTAATTCTTGCTGAATTTAGAATCACTTGTGGAGTTAAAAACAAACAAACAAACAAAAAAACCATGCTGGGCAAGGCATGGTGACTCATGCCTGTAATCCCAGCACTTTGGGAGGCCGAGGTGGGCAGATCCCCTGAGGTCAGGAGTTTGAGACCAGCCTGGCCAACATGGTGAAACCCCATCTCTACTAAAAATACAAAAATTAGCTGGGCATGGTGGTGCATACCTGTAATCCCAGCTACATGGGAGGCTGAGGCAGGAGAATCACTTGAATTCGAAAGACGGAGGCTGCAGTGAGCCAAGATCGAGTCACTGTAATGCAGCCTGGGTGACAGAGTGAGACTCTGTCTCAAAAAAAAACAAGAAGCGAAACCAACGACAACAACAACAAATCATACTGAAGCACAGATCCCACCCCAGACCGGTTGATTCTGAATTTCTGAGGTTGAGGGGCAGGCATGAAGTTCCCTGGGAGGTCTTCACAGGAGTCTCTGGATCCCTTAGGCTGTGAATGACCCCCTTCCAGAGGCATCGCCAGGGATGAGGAGGGTTCTTGGGTACTGGACCCACCAGCCGGGCAGGTTGTATTAGGGTATCCAGGGAGCTTTGGGGTGTGGCAGTGGAGGGCTGACAGGCACAGTTAGTGGTCAAGAGCAGTGTAGGGACAGAGACAGAAGCCACCCTGCAGGTCTTAAGCTGAGTCTGGATGAGTGTCCTGGGGGCGCTGTGGGGGCTCCCCTGAGCATTTTCTAGGCCACCTCCCCCTTTGGATAAGGCTGTGCTATCCTTAATCTGGGATGTAGTGGAAAGTGACTCGAGGTTAAGAAATCCCGCCTCTAGTACCCAAGGGGCCTTAGGCAAATCATGCTGTGAACCTCTCAGGACTCAGCTTTTGCATATGTACAATGTTGATAATCTTATGCAACCGAGATATCCCCAGGTGATGAGAGAATTAAATAAGAATACACACACACACACACACACACACACACACACGCCTACATAGTATAGTGACTAGTTAACACATGTGAATCAGAGGAAATCATTTCGCTCTTGGGCCAGCACTGGGAGGTGTGGAGGGGCCTCACCTCAAGTCAAGTGCACAAGTATTTATTGAGCAGCCACCTCGGCCTCCCCATTAGGAGTTTATAATTAGTTTATAATTTGCCTTTTGAATCCTAATGTCAGATCGGGGTGGCATGCCTGCTTGGGATGACAAGCTCCTCTGTCATGGGTGGGCCTCCTCTGCCATGCCCCTTCACAGCGAAGGCGACACTCCAGGGCCTCCCCAGGTCCTGGCTCAGCTTGGAGGGCTCCTGTCATTGGACTTCATCCTCCCCACAACCCTCTGAGTAGGTGCTGTTCTCATTTTCAGAAGGAAACTGAGGCACAAAGCGATTCAGCGACACGCCTGAGCTCGCCCAGCTAATGATGGTAGGGTGTGGACTGGAACTTGTGGTTGGTCCCAGCCCAGACTCTGACCACTCTGCTCTACTGCCCCTAGGCCCCAAGTGCAGCTGCAGGTGGGGCTGCCTCTGCCTCCTCTCCTCACCCAGGCCTTTGGGCCTGCCCCGCCTTCCCCTGGAGCGCCGTCCTCCCACTGCCTGCTGGCAGTCTAGGCACTGCTGCAGC